TAAAAGAATAGTTACTTCTTCAATTGTTAGGTTTTTGTCTGATCCAGTTAGATAAGGAGTGAGAAAAGATTCTGATGGCCTCATCGTGGAGAAGAATCCATTTGCACATATGATCAGTGTGGGATAAATCCAGCTGTGGCCTACGGCTCCCTTCCAGCAATACATAGTCCTAAACAAAGAAAGAAAAAAAAGAAAGCACAACAGGAATTTTATAAAGTTGTTAAAAATTCATTTGCAAGTTTACTTTTAAACTGTCCTTACCCACAGCCGTGCTAAAACCATAACCACCAGCTTACTCTGGGCTTGGCAGATGGCTGGCAATGATAGGGGCTGTTGGGAATGGTGACCCAGAGTTCTTGCTGGTATGCAAACATGACCATAATCCAGTTATCTTGCTTTCTAAATAGTGAGCAGCCTGGACCATGTCCAGCTCTCCTGCACAGCAGCAGGCTGCCAAGGGGATCTCATCTCGGGTAGGGATGCCTCTCAAGGTTACTCCTTGAGGTTAAGAAATTCCTTGCTACAACAGATTATGGATAAATGATTAATAGCATGTTAACTTTGAAATCTTAATGAAATAATATAAAGGATTGATTGTGAATATATAATCCTTTAGACATAAACTGTTGACCAAATCTGGGACTAGGGGTTGGATCTAGCTGCACTTAGCCTCTTTCCTGAGAAGGAATTGATAAAGCAAGAGGGTCCTTCCTGAATCTTCCAACTCAATGGGGGGGTATCACTGATGGTTTTGTTCTACCATGCCCTTTTATGCAGTGTACCTTGATAGTGAGTCTTGTAAAACCACTGTCACATTTACCATTGAAATGATATTGTTGCCTCTTGTGAGTGAAATGCATGGCTCCCTCTGTGACACCCAGTTCTGCTAATGTTTCTCTTGCTAAACCTGCCAGTTGATTACAGATTCAGCTTGTAAATGAACAACTTGGATCAAAGTGCGTTGGTGGCAGTAAGTTCCAGCCTTTGTATTGTGTACCAAAGGTTATTTTTAGTGAAAGAATTGAGTAGATGTATCATAGTGAAAGGATGAAGTTCCATTGCAGTCTCATTTCTGAATAAGTGAAACTGTGAGATTAAGGCTCTATGTCAGCATGCTCAAGAAAGCTTTTTTTTTTTTCTTTGGTTAATTTGCAGCCTGAGAGCCAAGTGGAACAATAGAAGTACAAGCCTTTCAGTAGACAATAAAAAGCCACCAGTCAGCTTGCAACCCATTCTAAGCTCAGTTTCTTCAAAGTGCTTTAATACTTACCATATTTCTTGCACTTTAGTCATTTTAGTGGGGAAAGAAAGATGAGGAAACTATCTGCTCGTGGTACCTGCTCAGTCCTAGAAAAAAAAGAATATTGACTTCATTTTTGAAAGTAATGATCAAAAAGAAAAGCGGCATTTGTTTCTTCACAGTAGATGGCAGCAAAAAGAAGTCTAAAGAGATTAGGGGTTGGGGTTTGTAGGGTTATTTTGCTTGTTTTGCATTAGAAAGTCAATTCCACTGTTCCTAGAAAGCAAGCAAAACAATGTTCTGGAATGTAACAGAATGAAAGCAAAGCATTGATATTTAATCAAGCTGTTACAAGCTATTCCTTTTAAATAGCAGAATTACGTTTTACATAAGGCAATTTCATAAGTGCTTATACTTGCCCTGTGCAATTGTATTTATTAAAACTTAGCATAAATAGTATGCTGTTTAGGCAGTATTTCTGTGACCTCAGAGGAATGTTACAACAACCAGCCTGAACCTTAAAACTTGATTTTAAATTATTGCCTCTAATTACCATCTTTCTCTTACAAATTGCTGTATATAAAATTATAGAATCATGGAATAGTTAGGGTTGGAAAGGACCTAAAGATCGTCAAGCTCCAACCCCCTGCCATGGGCAGGGACACCTCACACTAAACTATGACACCCAAGGCTCTGTCCAACCTGGCTTTGAACGCTGTCAGGGATGGAGCATTCACAGCTTCCCTGGGCAACCCATTCCAGTGCCTCACCACCCTTACAGTAAAGAACTTCTTGCTTATATCCAATCTAAACTTCCCCTGTTTAAGTTTTAACCCATTACCCCTTGTCCTGTCACTACAGTCCCTAATGAATACACCCTATATTATCTTTAGATCTGCTTTGAAATATTTTGATATGCTATCTTTTCAAAATAAAACTACATTAAAACATGGACTTATCAGTAACATCAGCATAATCTTGCATTACTTGCAAATGCACTGAGAAAATGAGTGTCCAGCATGCTTCCAAATAACTCCAAAGGTAATGAATTACCTGTCAAAGCTGTGGCTGTGGTGCATATCCTGTGGATTCATGTGCAGTTTCTTCCTAGGATGACTTCTGTCTTTTGGAAGAGAAGTCAGAAACCACCCTTCAGGATTGGAGGTAGTAAGGAATTTCTGCCTGTTTCTTAAAAGTTCATTCTAGACTTGATAAAATGTTAATAGACTTTATATAATAATAATTCAACAGAGTTCTTGCTTGCAGAATTTATCCATGAAGATTGCAGGGGAAGCTTTTTCCTTTACAGGTTTTGTCACCAAACTAATCTAATTTTTAGATAAAGCTTTAAGACTCACAGTGGCTAATGATTAATACAAACTGACATAGCAGGAATGCAATCGTGATTGTATTTCTGTGTTACTGAATACCTTTAAAAGCTTGGGTCTCTGATTCATGGGTAAAATTCAGCACCCATTTTACAGTTTGGGCTCACCTTGACCTACTCCTGTGCATAGCGTGGTGGCCTCTGGGTTCACGGGGTCTTTTCCGTCTGTCCTGGCTTTGCTAGGGATGAGGGGAGGTAGGACATTGAACAACTCATACTATTAGTTGACCAGGAATTGGTTCCGTATAAGGACCAATCTGTCATTTAAGAGTAAATGGACAAGAAGATGTGCTTCTAAGTCTATCCCCTAGGCTAAAAAAGTCAAACCTGAAGTACTTCAGAGAAATGCTGCTGCTTTGCTTTCCTTAACCCAGTGATTATTTATTTTTAATTATTTGATTGTTTGGGTTTTTTAATTGTTTTTTTTTTTTAGGCTGGGCTCCCTACACCTTCCCCTGTTTGTCAGAGGGCAAAGTTAACTGTGAAGCCTGTTGTTGGAATGGGTATTGACAGTGGGAGCATGCTGTGGCACAAGGGGCTCTGTATACTACTCAGAGCAGCTCTGTGAGCTGAACAGAGCCTGGTCTTGTTCTACAGGTATGGAAAGCTCTCACACCACTTGGAGTGTGTAGTGCAACCAGGCAGGCAAGTGTTCAGAGAAGCCAGGCTTGCCTCTGCATTTCTTTCTTTATCAATGATTACAGAAAAAGGGAAAGAACCATGGGGAAGATGCTGCTGGGTAGGTCTACTGGACTGCTGAAAGCTGGCTGCTAGCATTTCTCTGGTAACCTGTGCAGTGCTGGGTTAATACCTTCTTGCTTTGAATGCAAAGATACAGTTTGTTTGCTGCCTTGTTGGCCAGAACTGGCCTTATCAGCTTGCTGGACTGTACCTTCATAGAAGACTAGTGCCTAAACCTACTAATGTTTCAAAGGTAGGTAGCGTTGTGTTGGAAGTGGGGTGTAGCTATGGGGGAGTGATGTGCTTGGCTTTGGTTTTTCATATTTGCGTGGAGTCCATTAGTGTGCTGGGACAAAGATAAAGACTGAATGCTAAAACCTTCAAGGAAAGGTGGATTTGTTCAGTTTCCTTTTCCTACAGAACTAGGGCCTGTGGTTCCAGCCTTACTCATAACCTGCTTAGCCTCAACTACTTCCACATCAAAGAGTGTAAGTACAAGAACACACAGGTAGTTGTGTTCATCTTACTGTTTTAGATGAAATCTCTGGTTCCTGGGTTAGCACTAATTCACAGGTGAAAAACCCGGGGTAACATGAGATCTTACGGTTCTCTTGCTGTTGTTTCCGCCTCCAATGTGTTATGTCCTTCAGAACACTTTGAAGAGCTGTCATCTTCCTTTTCTATTCCCCCAGTGCTCCAAAGTCTCAGCCTCAGAATCCTTCTTTTGGAAATTCAAGAGAATAAGAATAGATTCTTTCTCTGTCTCTCTCTCTCTTTTTTTTTTTTTTTTTAAAGTCTTATCTGTTTTACAAAAGGAGTACTTTCTACATCCGCAAAACACATACATTATATCTACTTGGCTCCTTTGCTCCTTAGTGGCATCCCATGTACATGGAAGGCCGTTGAGTTCTGACCAGTTCAGAATGGAGAAACTTTTATTGTTATTTCTACCAGCTTTTCTAGGTTCTTTCCTGCAGCTTATTATTGCCTTTTTTTTTTATCAGATGCGACACAGAAATATTCATTAACTTTCTATACCAAAGGCAATTTGAGACTGTGGAGCTGGACATACCATGTTGTTTTTTATTGAAACAAGGTGTAGTTAGATTCTAGTCCAGGACTAGTACCTAGTCTTGAACTAAATGCCTCAAGAGCATTTAGTAGTAGTAGCTTGGGTGACATGGTTTAGTGGGAGGTGTCCCTGCCCCTGGCAGAGGGGCTGGAACTGGATGACCTCAAGGTCCTTTCCAACCGTAACTATTCTATGACTGTATGATTCTAAGAGAAGATTTCTACTCACAAGAAAAAGTGAAATAAAACAGTCTTTGCTCTACTGGACTTTGTCCTCATTTCTTCAGTCAGAAATATCATGCCCTTGGTTCTGAAGTAATAAAAGCTACTTACTACTTAGTGGAGACTAAGTACATCTGCTTTTACAGCTGTTCTGCTTATAACCAGTTTATAACAGAGAGTGCCCACACAGAACACCATAGTAAACTAAAAGCCTAGAAAATTAGCTAGGTTCATTTTGTCAAGTCGTACTGATTGTTCTTATTACTTGAAACGAATTGATACTCTCCTGCCTGTTTTCACCTCTGGACAGTTTGTTTAATTGCAGTATATGACAACTATATGAAAAGCGCATAGGTCTGTAGAAATGATAGCTTGTGTGTCTACAGGAAAAATATCCTCTAAATGCCAAGTAGCATCTATTTTTATTAGAAGTAGGTATTGGAAGCTAGAAGCAAATAGCAATACAGAAATAACTTTAACATATGGATATAATTTATATTAAATTAGGCATTCACTATGCAAACTCATTTATAGCCCCTTTTTTCTTCTCCTGGACTAACTGTCCTTTGTGCTGGACTAAATTAGCTGTAGGACTTGAAGCTTCTTGATAAATTCTGAGATGCTGATCCTGCCAAATCCTTGGACAAAATCAATGGACCTCCTTCATTTGGCACTCAAAAGCAGATATGATGCTAGCTTTTTGCTGCAGTTATAAATCTTCTTTTGATGTTTGTGTTAATCTGGAACTTTCCTGTGCAGAATAAGCCACATTTCTCCACAATCTATTTCTCTGGTTATAGTCTGTACTACTCAGTCCTTTTTTGAGTTTTTTTTCTTTTGCTGTTGAAATGGGAAGACACTCAGTCCTGAATTTAATTTTACTGGAAGCACAAAGAAAGGAGGGAGGGGTTTCATTTTGTTTTGACTCTGAAGTTCTTTCATTCTGGGTTGAGATTGTAGTGAGTCCATAGCAGTGTTTAGGTCATGGCTTTCAAGTGAGGGCTGAGCAACAACTGTGGCTTAGCAGTGTTTTAGTGAAACTTCTCAGATAGGTTCTGCAAACCCTGCTTTTCTGAACCCTTGTGTGCAAAATGCCTGCTTCTGACATGGGCTGTTAAATTAGAAGGGAGGAGTCTGTCACCAAATTCCCTCTAGTTAGGAAGGAATATAATGATGCAAACACAGCCCCTTCTTCCTTGGTTCCTTGGTGGGGAGATAGACCCCTTATCTTTCGTGCATAAGCAAAGGTGCATGGAAGCAGCCTGCCAACACTATATATAAGATCTAGAATAAGCAAGGCAGGGTTAACTCTAATCTCTGCCATTGTGCACAGTGCAGTGCCAAGATGGTTGCTCTGTTCTTGTGTGTAAATAACTTCTATCAAGCTATTTGTAAGTAAGTAAATAAGAACCTAAAGCAACTTATCTTTTTCTTCTTGGCACAGTGCTATTATGATGATCTCTTAGCTGGCATACGTTGCAATGAAATGCTGTAATGATTCAGCATAGCTTTTCAGGGCTGTGTTGTACCTTCATCTTGCACTGCTGTTCCCTGCATGCTGCAGTAGAAACTCTTCTGCTAGGGCCTGGCCATGTGGGATTGTCTGCCTGACTCATACATCCATGTTATATAGCCAGCTACAGTTGCTCTTCGTAAGATCTTGTTATTTTCCTTTAGCATTTGCTTGAGACAAGAGTGCAAATGCTTCTTATCAAGAAAATTCCACTTATGACTGCAAAGTAGCTGCCATAAATTAAAAACTGGGAGGGGGAGAGAAAAAGACAAAGGAATTAATGAAAAACACATTAGGGAAACACTGCTGCTTTTCGTGGTGGGTTTTTTGTTGTCGGTTTCTTTTTTTTTTTGTTTGAGATGTCAAGCACTGTTTTGTTTACCTGTGTTCTGGCACACTTTCTTTATGCTCAAGTTTTTGCTTTGTGATTAAGCAAAATCTTAGCTTTTCCAGCAAACAGCAGATCTTTGAGGAATAGAGAACTGCCCCTTGCTTTTAATTATTATGCCTCTTAATAAACATCGGGGGTAAAGGATAGGAACAGGATTTTTTTCCATTTGTGCAAAATGTAGAATTAGCTTCATTACCTGTGGTCATGAATATTGCATGTGAGTTTGGATCAGTATTTCCAACAACAGAGGAAAGGCTATTTATGAAGTCTTCATATTCCTGTCCTTAATTTCAAAGTTTTGGTTTTAGTGTTTAATTCAATCTTTAATGTTTTAAAATTACTTCTGCTTTCACTGTGCTGAATAGCTTTAGTTTTCTTCCATAGGAGTAGGAAGCTGCCTTAGCTGAGATCCCATCTAAGAAAGTGCTGAAGTCGGTACATTTCACTTCATTCTGAAATGAGTGGACCTGGGCTTACTGAAGTTAGGGACACTTTTGAGATAGCATATCCCACCCCGACTTAAGTGCACAAACTATGGGCAAGAGACTTTATTATTCACATTGCGATACAGACCAGGTTTGTTTCTGCTCTGGAATGAGAAGGCAGGTGTCCTTCCTTTTCACATGAGCTGAAATGACTTCAGTAATGTAGGCTGTGTTTCACAGCCTTGAACTTTCCTAACAACACGTAGCCATGTTGATTCTGCATCTAAGAAAATCAGAGGGTGCTATTCAGTGTCCTATTAGTTAACAATCTGGTCAGATAGCAGTGCCTCATTATTTATGCTCTGCTGTATTTGCCTTTGAAAAGTTAAAGACCAGTATCTGTAATCTTAAATACTGCACTAAAAGTTGAAAGGGAATAATTACGGTGGACATGAGGGAAAAGCAAGATGTATAGATTTCTATAGAAGAAAGGGGGAATTAAATTGTCCTTTGGAATAGCAATTTCTTTCTTGGTAAGCTTCTGAAAATTAAGTAAATTAATTTAAATTAATTAAATTACTATTAACTTACTTCCTATTTACTTAATTAAAATTAAGTAAATCAATTTTTAATTAAGTAAATAGGAAGTAAGTTAATAACACTTACCTGGATCACTATGTCCAGTCCCAGGCCTCTTGAATCCACAATAACTACTGTAAGAATGGTCTGAATCACCAGTGCAATGAAGTTGTTGAATCCAAACACCAAGGCATAACGTTCCATGCTCAGGTTGACTGCAATCTGGAACCTAATATGAGACTGGCATATCAATTACTTCACACTGGGTGGAAAGCTGTTGCCTTCCATTTACTTGATGAAGAGAAACTATTCAAGCAGATGATCTATGGAGGATGGAGTAAATGATGTTTCATTTGTTTGTAGAATGTACTGAAATAGTTCAGGTGTGATCCACTATAATGTACTAACAACCACTAAAATGAAAATACAAGATTCACTTGGTTTCATTCAAGATAGGCATAATCTTGTAATGCATTGCAGTATAGCAGATTTTTCAAATGTTATCTTAATAATTTGGGGTTTTGACATATGCATCTGGCATTTTTGTTACTAAAATAGTATCGTATGTCTAAAGATGTTCCAATCAGTAAAATAACTGGTGTGATAAAAATGTGTTATATTTATTACACAGGTTAAATATAATATTTTTTTTTTCATATTTCTGACAACAGAATAGCTTGCTCTCCTAAGAGATCTTGTCTGAGTCTATCTAATGTTCTCCTTTTATTCCTGCTTTACATCATAATATTATTAAGGATTCTATGTGTAAACCTGTGTTGGGAAAAACTATGCCAAACCTTTTCTTGCATTCTTGTTCATAGCATACTAAAAGTGTATCAGCAAGGTGGTTGAGATATCAAGGGATCTTAAAGGATGATTGTCAAAAAATTCTTGTCTCTACTGTTCAATTTGCATCTTTCATGTCAGGAAAGAGGAAAATAGTATATATGTTTTGCTGTTACTATTGCCTTTAGTAATAAAGATATGTTGTACCTTGTTTAGTTTCTACCCAGTAAATGTTCAATGTCCTTTTGGTAGTTTTTCTTTCCTGGGTGTTTAGAAGAACAAAAACTACATAACTAGACATTCAAGTGTCCTTGTCTTTACCTAATCAGTTATGTCCAGCATTAGATCAGCTACCTCTGAGTAAAAGGAGGGATGCCCAAAGCAAATTTGTAGCACGGTTAGTGTTCTGTGTGTAACGGCAGCACTGTGAGGTTTTATACTTACGTTGATATTGTTATGAGGAGCATATAGCATGCTTTGAAAATGAGATAGCCAGTGTAACATGCCCAGATGTTGGTAGTGAAGTGCATGAGAAGCAGAGAAACAGCATCTATTGTAGAGAAGATCCCTAAAGCCAGTTCTCCGAAAAGGTCCCAGTTAATTTTCACGTATTGTACTATGAAAGATGTTACTGAACCTAGAAAAAGAGAAGAAAACATGTAAATGTTGTATCTGTTCTATAGTATATATCTCCAAATCTTGCCACTCGTGCCAAAAGGCAATGCTGAATAATAGAGTAGTTCTGAAGTGTTTTGAAAGCACTTCTAATCGCTTCTGAAGTCATGCAGGTAACTGGTCATTTTTAGATAACTACATAAATTCTTTGCCGTTCCATTATTTATATTTTATTCCACTTCACATGATAAACTCTTATGTAGAAGGATTCATTATTTAGCTGTCTGTACCCAGCATGTATCTCTAGAGAGAGAATTAGGAACATGGTTTGGAGCTCAAGAAGAACAATTCTTCCAGCTTGTACTTTATAAGTAAGCTAGTAAACCTTCTTGTTTAACAGTTTAGCTCTGTGCAGCTCATAAAGGGGCTAAGTGGTCAGAAAAAGGAGTTTTGTCTGATACCAACAGAGTTTATTCAGGGAATGGAGGATTGACAGTTTGCTTTTGGTGGGCCTGCTATAAAGATGCATCTGTTGAGAAAGGAAGCCCCCAACTGTTCATCTTAGGAGCCTCATGGAATTTGAAAACTTCTGCACCTCTGCGATGAGAAATAAATGATTCCATGAGAGAAAGGAATTCATCAAGGAGCAGACACTTCAGGAGTTAAGTGCTTCTAATTAATGATTCAGTTGGTCTATTTTGTTGCCTACTTCAAGACAAGAGTAATTTTTAATCTTTGAAATATCTGTTTCTCTTGATAACTATAATGATGAGTTATGATATAGATGTGTTTGTTTTTTTCCCTGGTGGGTCACACCCCATTGTCTTGTGCAAGTTCTTTACAGCAGCACAACGTGCATATGAGAAACACTGCCAATTCAGGGTGGTATATTCTGATGTTACCTTTCGATAACATCACTTTGATTGTCTGGTGTGGGCATCTGCTTCCAGAGCAAAAGTGTAATGATTAATGTCAGTAGTATAATGAATTCAATAAATTCTTTTCCTGCAAATCTCTGTATCTTGGAATAAGGAAAATTCCATTTTTGGTCATGCTGCATAAGAGATTTAACTAGAAAAAGATCTTAGTGTGAAAGGGTTATGTTGTTTTTCTGTAAAAAAAAACAACAAACCAACAAGCCCAAATAATGAAAAAATTCTCATCTGTATAAACTGGTACCATTCTTCTGAAAGCCGTATGATACTTTGTCTGGGAGCAAAGAAACACTCAACAACCTCATCCAAAGAAAGACGGATGCCACTGAGTGGATTTAGCACCTGAATGTAAGTCTGTGTGACTTGTACATGCTCTTCATACTAGTCAGATAAAGTTGGGTGTTCCAGTTTGTCCCAGTCCTAAAACTGAAAAAAACCACCCCAAAACCCAAACCCAAAGAACCACAAAAGCCAAGCATAGCTTTCATTTGAACAGTTTTGTACCTCAAAGACCTAGGTCTTGAATGCAGAATGCATACAGTGACTTCCTGGAGTGTAAACAATGGAATGTCACTCTTAAAGTGTTCTGAACTAAAACATTAGAGACTGCTTTTATGGTAGATGCTTAGACACTGACTTACTCAGAAAAGTTGCAATTGCTTCAACAGCTCCGTTGTACACTGCAGAGCTGTGAGAGGGGGCTCTGAAGTCCCACAGCACTTGGATATAATTCAGGACCTGGTTAAAGCCTGCTGTAGCCAGAGCCCACCACAGGGACCAGTAGAGAAGTTTCCTAGAGCTGTAGCAATGCCTCAAGTCCTTGCTCAGCTGCACCAGAACCCCAAGCACGTGATTCTGTGGCTTGGCATTACCAGGCTCCTGTTCAGGTGCTGGTCCCATGTCAGCAGATGGAGAGCTCTTGTTCTCTTGGCAGCTCAGTGGCCTGTTGGAGCTGATGGTAGCCACTGTTTTATCTGTTCCTGGGAGACCTTCTGAGATCCCTTTCCTGTGGAAGAACATACTCTTTTGGGGCATTGGCAGGAAGAACGAACACAGGAATGCCAGGGACACAGAAGCCAAAGTAATGGTGTTAAGGTGAAAGTAGGATACATCTGCTAAGGAAACCAGCAGCTGTCCCAGCACAGCACCAGTGGTGGCTGCAACCAGAGTGATACTTCTGCAATAGCTCGTCACTCTCTGATAGTGATCAGTGCTGACGACACTGTAGATGTAGGCGTAATAGGCGACCTCGGTGGCTGTCACCATCCCGTAGAAGAATTCCACTATCTGCATGGCCACCACTCCATGTGCGAAGAGGAGCAAGAGCCACGTGACGATGAAGCTGAGGCCTTGGAGGAGGAGGACAGGCTTGTAGCGCACATAGTCTGTAATGAGGAAGACTGGGAGAAGGAGTGCAAGATAGGAGTATGTCCAAACTGGGAAAACCTGGTTTGTAACCTAGAAGGGGGAATGTATGTTTTGTTATTCTTGGGGAAATGAAATTCATTTATCTTTAAAAGATTTTGTAGGAGGAAGCTTTTGCTTTGAAGGAATTAATAAAACATATCCACACTAAAGCAACATGTGACTGTTGAGCAGGCAAATGGATCTTAAATCTCTTAAATGGATCTTTTATTTATGTTATCTGCTGCAAGTTGTAACCTACCAAAACTGGCTGCAGTTGTGGGGTTTTTTGTTGTTTGGGTCTTTTTTTTTAATCTATGAAAAATTGTTTCAAGTTTTACTTTTCTATTTTTCTGTTCCATGTATGAGAGTAAAACCATACCTCATCTGTGGTCAGGTTTTTCTCTGGTCCTGTTAGATACGGTGTTAAGAAAGGTTCTGATGGTTTCAGCATGGAGAAGAATCCGTAGAGGCAGAGGATCAGGGTGGGAAAAGTCCAGGTGTTGCTTGCCTCCTGCTTCCAGCAGTCCATGGCCTCTGCAGGGAAGCTGAGGAGGAAGTTTTAGAAGGATGATGCTTCCTATGCAAGTGCAAAGATGTCTTGTAACTGATTTTGATTTTGTGGTCTCTAATGCTCAGGGATGCTCTTTAGAGGCTGGCATTTGGAAAACATTTTTCTTCATGATGTTAAAGTGAGGAGCTTTTCCTTACATTTGTCTGCTTTGTCTTTGTAGGTAGAGAATAAAGAATGATTTGGGATATCTTTAACTGGGAGATAAACCTTGCTGTTTTTCAACCTGCACTGACTAAGCTAATAACCACAGGAAAAGCCTTTCTAGACAAAAGTTGCTGAAGACAGCTGAGCACTGAAATTTCACTTGGCACCATGACTGATCACAGTCAAGTACCTTGTTGAGTGCCAAGTAACTAGTTCACGATTGCTGTGTCTTCTCTTTCACTCCCTAGATGTGCATTGCTTTGCTGTTATGGATAGCTGGTAACTTTGCAGCCTAACAGATGAGAGTCACTAATAAATATAGAAAGGATCAGATCCTAACTGTGTCAGAAGTGCAGTTTGATACAGACATTCTATTTTCAATCTATCTATAAAAGTGATGCAGAGGGTTGACCACTAAAGAAGTCACTGAAGATAATAGTTCACTCTAAAAGCAAATGAAGTGGATATTTTTGTTCTTGTATCTAGCCAAGACTGATGGAATAAATTAAACTTTGCAATTCTGCTGTACAGAGCCCAAAGAGAAGTCAAAATGAGTGTAGCTGGGGGTATGCAAAGGAAACAGCAAGTTATACTCCATATTCAGGTTTGTATAGGCAATGTCAAGAGTCTAAATGTGTACAATTTACCTTTTGGAGTGGTCTGGAGGTTGCTTATTTTTCTCTAAATATTTTTGTTGTTGTTGTTTGGTTTGGTTCTTTTTTCTTTATTTTTTTGTAAAAGCTAAAGAAAGATCTCTCCAAAAACAGCCCCCAAAAATTTCATACCTGTTGGCTATGTCACTCCAGATTGGATGGTCAGAGGATCATTTTATAGGTTGTGGTACATAATGTATAAGGCAGCAGGCATTATGTATCTTCTTTTCTAACTTCACTCCATGGTGCATATTTTTCTAATGGCCTGATGCGCTAGGAAATGGGTGCAGATCAAAGGGAATTTGAATTATTTAATTTTATGCATAACGGCTGAAATCACTGACATGCCACCCTTTACAGCAGCAATAAACTTATGCAGTTCTGCAGCTTGAACCACTAGAGGGCAAACTGATCCCAGAGAAGGAAAAACGTGTATGAGAAGAATGTGAGACACAGAGAGCCCAAAGAAGTGTTTCTGTTCCTCTTTCCTCCCCAGTTGTTGTAATAGCTTCTGCTGCAAGCATGGCTTTGGCAGGACCAGTTTTGGCCCTGCCCAGGATAATGCTCACTTAGTTATCATAACGTCCCCTTTCACATGATAAATCCTTAAAGCGTTACAGTACCCTAATACATCATATGAATGCTTCATGTAGTACTGACAGGTTCTGAGAAAGGCATCAAGAAGAGAGGGGATGAAGAGCATCTCTAGCACTGTGAGGAATATTTGTGCAAGTTAGCTCTGTGACCTATCCAAGTTATATTTTATCCTTCCCAGCCTAGATTCTCCGCTCCATTCTTGGGTCTTGCCATGTTTGCTCTCCCCCTGCTAGTCTGTGTGACTCAAAGTCAGCAGGTCTCATGGATCCTTTCAAAATGTCTTGAGCCCTGGGAGGTGAGTGTGGCATACTGCTGTATTCCCAGGGCTCACAGGGTGCCATGTGCTGCACCTCTGGTTCTGTCCATCTGTGCCAGGGCTGTGCCATTGCATATAGTAATTTCGGTGTTGAGCTATATACAGAAAAACTCAAAGCGTGCCCTGGTCACTGCAACCCTCCAGTCCCAGCATGTGTTGTTTGGGGTTTTCTGCTAGACATGTAACTCTAGCCTGTAGATACACTCCAAGACATCTGTGTTAGGCTGCAAGGTAAGTCAGATGAGAAGTTTGCCACTCAATTTAAGCAGCTATGCAGGAAAAATACTGCTGCTGGTGTTGAGCCTGGAAATGTGGTGGGCTGAGGGCTGTCATGGGCAGTTTGCTCTATGCTTGGGGAGTGGGAGGTGCGTGCTGCTCCATCCACAGCAAGGTGTGTGCTTGCCTTAGACCCCAGCCCTTTGCCATCAGTGGAGGGCTCTATTGCAGACTTGCCTCTACCAGCTGCTGGTATAGCTGATGCTTTCTGCATTCATAACTAAAAACCTCTGACGATAATAGGTGTACCTCAGTGCTTAAGGTGGAGGGATCCAGCTTGCTCCCATTCAGCTACCCCTTATAGTTGATTTGCCTTTATAAATCTAGATATTTGTTAACTTTTGGAGAGATGATGGGATGTCTTGGTGTCATTCAGCAGCAAAATAGTCCTCTGTTTCTTTCCCCCCCCCCCCCCCAATTTTTGGGTAGTATTGGAGCTGTCAGCTCTTTCCTGACACAGCCTGACCTAGCCCTCCAGTTGCCCACCAGACTGTTCTCTTCTTTCCTCCCTCTTTCCCTTATTGTTGCAGGATTTTTGATTTTTGAAGTTCATATATAATCATACCTTGTCTGCTGAAGCTCTTCCTTTCTTCCTTCCAAGGGAGAGGTTCCCTTTTAGTATTTCCAGCTTTTCTCCTGTCTGTCCTGTGTGTATTACAGCTACTGGACTCTATTTGGTTTTTGTGCCTTTCCTGTTCTTCTGGAATTCCAGCTTGCTCTGATGACACCTCCTTTAAAAACACTTCCAGCTGGCTTGCTTTCAGCATCCTTAAAGGAACAGCCAGACAATCCTGCCCTGTCCTTGCCCAAAGGCAGGAGTAGATTGAAACCCACAGTACTGTTTGTTGTTTGATTGGCAAAAAACAATAAAGCTAATCCTGTTCACAAATAATTTGGGATCTATCTGATGTAGGGTAAGTGGCTTGAGACCCATCTGTGCTGCAGACTGGTCTGTATTAAAGCAGAACAGTAGCTATGTGTGGGCAATGACAATAAGAGGGAACAACTACCAGTGCTGTAAGATATTTCCCCACTAAATATATGGGTTTTCATACAATTCTGGCAGGTTTTAAAAGTAAAACCCTCTGCTCTCATTCCCAAGGACTGTTTTTTGTTAGCAAATTTCTCAGATCTTTTGCTGAGGCAGCTTCTCACAGTTCTACTGAAGATGGAGATGGCCCTATACTCATCTGCAGAAGATCCTGTGGGACTCACAGCAGTCAAGTATACTATCTTAAATATAACTTTTTGCACAAAAAGTAGAATCATTGAATCAACTAGGTTGGAAAAGGCCTTTAAGATCATCAAGTCTAAGTACGTACCTACAAATCTAGATCCGCTCCCACCCTGGTCCTACAGCATTTAGGTCTAGAGTAAGGGATATAATACATGTTTGGGCAATGTGCTCAAGATGTATGGGCAGCATGCAGCTGTGGCAAAGAAAGCCAACAGGATGCTGGGTTACATCAACAAGGCATCACCAGCAATGATAAAGTTGCCATTATTTCACTCTACTCACCACTTTTCAGGCCACACCTAGGATACTGTGTTCAGCTTTGGTCCCCACTATAAAAAAAAAAAGATATAGATAGGCTGGAGTAGGTCCAGAGAAGATGATATGCTCTAGTGCACCACAAAGACGATCAGAAGACTGGGAAACCTGCCACATGAGGAAAGGCTGAGAGAGCTGGGTTTTGCTCAGCCTTGCGAAAAGAATGTTTCAGGAAGATCTTGTGCCATGTTCCAGTATTTAAAGGGTAGCTATAAAGAAGATGGACATTCCCTTTTTACAAGGAGTCATATGGAAAAGATTAGCAGTAATTGGGTAAAAGGTACTCCTGGGGGGATTCTGATTGGACAAAAGAGGGAAATATTTCACAATGAAAACAATCAGTAATTGGAATAGTCTTACAGGGAAGTGGTGGATTCCCCAACACGGAACACTAGATTTGCCTGGGCAGGGTGCTGGGTCTTCTAGTCTAAGTAACACTTTGCTAAGAAAGGTTGGACTAGATGATCCTTAAGATCCCTTCCAACCTGGTGTTCTATAATATAATAATTACTTAGGAATGCAACCAATTCAGTAGGAAAATGATAAATTTGCAATTAACAGTGAATTATCCAATAGTTTCAGAAGAAGGCAGCTTCTTAGTTTACACACAGTAAAATGGTATGGTAATTCCAGGGAGATATAATAACTATGAAAAACATTACATTCCCTGCTAGGTCAGATATGCAGCCCAGGTGTGCCATTCCTCCACTTTCTTCAACCTTGGCCACATTTTGCAGCCTTTTTGCCTCCTACTCCTCAACAATCAAAGTTATGGGACTAGTGGAGTTAGAGGGGCCACCTCTGCGTATTGCCTTTACCATCTGTGTGTTGGCCCCGTTTTCCATGAATCCATCTAATCCTGCCTGAGATGCTGCTGTATATGTGTGTGATCTTTTCTGATGTCTGTGAAACTAGTCATAGAATCATAGAATAGTTAGGGTTGGAAAGGACCTTAAGATCCATGGGCAGGGACACCTCACACTAAACCATCTCATCCAAGGCTTCGTCCAACCTGGTCTTCAACCCTGCCAGGGATGAAGCATTCACAGCCTCCCTGGGCAACACATTCCAGTGCCTCACCACCCTAACAGGAAAGAATTTCCTCCATATATCCAATCTAAACTTCCCCTGTTTAAGTTTTAACCCATTACCCCTTGTCCTATCACTACAGTCCCTAATAAAGAGCCCCTCCCCAACATACTGGAAGGCTGCTATGAGGTCTCTACACAGCCTTCTCTTCTCCAGGCTGAACAGCCCCAACTTTCTCAGCCTATCTTCATACAGGAGGTGCTCCAGTCCCCTGATCATCCTCGTGGCCCTCCTCTGGACTTGTTCCAACAGCTCCATGTCCTTTTTATGCTGAGGACACCAGAACTGCACACAATACTCCAGGTAAGTTCTCAGGAGAGCAGAGTAGAGGGGCAGGATCACCTCCTTCAAATGCTTGAAGGGGACATAATAATTCTTTTTACCATTTTCCCTTTCACTCTCTGACACCAACTTCAGAGCTATTTTGGTTCTGCCACTAATTGAACCTGTAGTTATAGGAGGTGACAGTGCAGCTGAAAGGAGACTGTGTATATCTGCATTCACTTCTATTCTCAAGGGTTCTTTCTAAAATGCAGGGAAATTCTGTTGAACTGAGTAGCGTTACTCTGGGTTTGCAATGACTTACTGAGATAAGAATCCAACTTGAATTTCTCAGCATTGGGAAAAAAACCAAAAACCCACACTAAAATTCTCTTTTATTTGTGTAATGTAGTAATGAGAAAGAATTATCTAAGTAGCTTCCAGCCATTGATGCACTTTTGTTTTGTGCTTTCAGATCCTCTTTTATCCTCTACTAGCTGTTCTTTCCATACTACTTAGTCTATATTGTATTTTCTTAAAATTTCATCCTTTTTCACTGATCCACATCTGAATGCCAAATGGAACACAGTAAAACTGTGATGGGCTTATACAAGTTTTTGGTCAATTTGAGCCCTTTTTCACAAGTTGCTTGCAGCGGGGCTTGGTTGTTGGGTTTGAAGAAAACTGCTTTTCATGCTGAGTTTGAATGTAGTCTGTTTGGAAACAGGAGTGTTCTTTGGCTTGGGGGGGGGGGATGGGCTAGGGGATGTGTTTATAGCTGGCATCACAATTCCCTTCAACTGGGAAAGAAAAGACTAAGATCTGGAGAACAGGTGAGTTTTCTAGCAGCAGTGTATCCTAAAGAGTTAATATGATATGATCTCTAGTGTATCAAGGAGACAGGAAAATTCCAAGGATAGAAGGGAAAAGAAAGGCAGTAATTAGAAGGAGACTGCAAACATTTGTCCCCCTGGTACCTTCTCCCTCTGCTGTCCCTTGGACTGATCCTGGTATGATCTCTGGTGCTTCATAGGATGGCACCAAAGCTGAGAGCTTCATCTCAGTTGTGTGAGGTACATTCCTCTCTCAAATGGTCTGGTTGAGTGCTGACTTAGGCACTGACTTTAACTCCCAAATCACATCAGTTTCTTGAAAGCAGCTTAACGTGGGAGAAGGGACTTTGCAAATCAAACTGAAGGATTATACTTTTTAAAGAATGTGTCCTATACTCCTTTAAAAAAAGCATGATAGCAAAGAAAATTTACTGTGGCTAGTACTGAAGATTTTTCTCAATTGGTGGTCAAATAGAGCCCATGCACATAAAGGTTGTAATGGAAGTTATGAAGATTAAACTTCCTTTTTGTTGTATTCCTCAGACCCAGGAGTATTCATGGGGCAAGTTCACTTTTTGATTTATGGAAGAGCAGATCTTAATCTCTTCTCATGCGCTACATGCCCATTTTGGGAACAAGCTGCTGTGTGCAGCCTGAGTCTTAATCCTGCAATGAATGGGTGAGGATTTTCATAACTTGCTTCTCATTGAATCTCCTGCATGGTTCCCAAGGTGGAGAGACATTCACATGCCGAGTTCAAATGCTTTTCATCACAGACACTTAAATGCTTCTGTGAAGTATAGTTTAGAATATTTGATAAAAAGTGCATTACTCCAAGGGGCAAGCTAGAGGATATATTCCACCAAACTAACATTTCAGGTACTTAATTTAAAAGTAAAATTACAAGTGATTCCTTACTTAAAAGTAATGACATAAGGGTATATTTCACTACACTGAGACTTACATAAGACTACTGCCCTTTTCTTTTTATCCAGCCACTCTTATTCATGTCACTAGAGTGTGTGTTGCCATTTGCATTATACAGGGTAGTAGTAGCTGCTGGTAGCAGGGCAGGATCTGGAACCAACAGCTGTGTCATGAATTATCACCCTGGGATACCTGGGAGGTTAATACTTTCTTTCTTACAGGTGAAATTTTAGTGATGACATATTTGAGTGTTTGCACAGATAAGGCCTGGAGCTACGAATATAGCATGGAACATGCAGAATTTTTGTGATAAGTTTATGAAGACTGGTCAGACATACTTTGCTTGCAGAGACATGCTTTATGTCCCCTTTTGTACACTGCTGACTCTGGGCCAGTGCTGGATTGAAAGGAGTGCTTTACCTTCTTAATCCCTTGTTATTGGCCAGGGAAAGTTAAGTTCAGTATCTTCAAGTTTCTGCAATACAAGTCATTGGTTGGATTTTCCTTTTCTTGGTTACAGTTTCATTGTTGAATTAAATGTGACTGGTCAACATCTCCATAATTGTGAGAGGCTGGGGACGTAGGCTGGGGAAGTAGTATTCAGTTTACACTGGGCATCCCCCTGGGAGCATTGCCAAGACTTTGTAAAGTCTTTGTAAAAGGAATATATGGCATCCTTATTTCCATCTCAGTGACCTGCATTGCAGCTTTCTGATATGCTCCATGTCTCTTGCAAAATCCTGTCCAAGGCTTTGGTAAGTTTCCAAATAAAGGCGTTTCATGTTGTCTGAGGACTGGGTTCATTAGTTGAGCAAGATCCCCCTTGACTTTCTTGTTCTGATTGGCACAATGTACACTCTGCTGTCACAGCTGAGGGATGCAAAGCAGGGTGGTCCAGAGGAGCCTCAGAGCTGAGCCAGAAAAAAATTCAGCATGGGAAAGTATCTACTGATACTCTTCTGATAAAAAATTAATTGTTCAAAATGAAGACTGCTGAGAAAAATTCAAATGAAAAAAGAGGCTTATAAAAAGTGGAAGCAAGGACTGGTGGCCTGGGAAGAGTACAAGGATGCTGTCCAGGAAGCTAGGGACCAGGTTAGGAAAGCTAAGGCCCAGTTAGAATTAAACTTGGCTGGGGATATTATGAATAACAGGAAGGGATTCTACAGGTACGTAGCAAATAAAAATCAGACTAGGGAGAATGCAGGCCCCCTCAGGAAGCTCTCGGGTGAACTAGCTACACAGGATTTGGAGAAGGCTGAGGTTCGGAATGACTTCTTTGCCTCGGTCTTCACTGGCAAAGG